ATTTGTGTAGTTTAGAGTCGGGTTATCTATTTATTAAGTTTTATTCTCAGGAAATGAACTCTATTTAATTAATCAAAAAGTGATCTGTAGAAAGTTATTGACACGTAATGCCACCTTTTTTTTTTATTATAACTCTGTTTTTCAACGGCTTTAAAAAGCGAACGAGTATGAACATCCATAAGCTATTGCACGATAATACACTTTTTTAACCTGGCATTATATGTTGTTTACAAGACTTAACGTTTTCGATTTACGTGACATTAAATCGGAGTATGTATTCCGTCCATGGCATTCTTTTATAAATTAATTAACTGTAAGGTTCTATATAGATTGCTGCATTGTCCTCTCTCCTGGAGTACTGGTAACCATTTATGTAAGAAAACATGTTTTATTGCTTAAAAGAGAATGATCATTGGAATTGTAATGCTCTTGAGTTTATAGTCGACGCTTCGTCATTCGGTACCTCCGTAGTTTCTTCGCGTTTTTTCTACAGTTTCTCCTAGAAACATCATTTTACTGACCTATTTCTTTCATACTTTGTAGGTAGATACTATGTATAGTCTTCAACTTTAGGTGGAATATGGGGTCACTTGGGTCATGGCCAACTTTCACTGACTCGGGTTCGGTGCAGACTCGGTGCTACAAATATATTTTTACACTTTTACTTATGTAGCCTTTATTTATTGACCAGTGTTTTTTTTATATTTGGTGAGATTATTCCTTGGGGTTCCGCTACCTTTGAATTTAGTTTGAGTTCACCATAGTCAAGGCCAAGGTCACTAGTGCTAACGAATAGATTTTTTTACATTTATGTTCAAACATATTTATTGACTAACGTCTTTCGTATTTAGTGGGTACATACCTTGAGTGATGTTCTACATGTTTAGTAGAGCTTTGGGTCACTTTGGTCAAGGTCAATATTTGTGGTGCTCAAAATAGAAATTCACACTTTTGATTTCACAGTCTTTGTTTATTGACGGTTGTCTTTTATATTTGGTAAGTACATACCCTCGATGTCTTTTAACTTTGGGTGAAGTTAGGGATTACTTAGGTCAGGGTCACGTGAAAGCGCTAAAATATATTTTTAGACATTTACTTATAAAGACTTTATTTATTGACATAAGTATTTTACATTAGGTAGTCTTCTAACATATGTCGGTGGTCAGATATGTCCCAAAAAGAAATGTTGATATATTTTTAGAGGAGCATTTTTATTTGTCTTTAGCGATATATCTTGTAAAACTTTAACATTATATAATTTGATAAGATGATGACTTCCTCCTACTGAAACGTCGCGTGCAGACTAGCGGATTTGTCTTTTGTAAAAAAAAAACAAAACAAAAAACAGACGCGCGTACCTCATTGATAAATTGATCTACCATATTATTGAAAACAAAATTTAATCCAAGCTTGTCTTTTTCACAACATCAATTCCAGGGGGTGAATCACGCCGTTCGTTACCCAAACAAACAAGATGGCGAATGCAGCCGAAAAATAAGTTTTTCCTATTTTATGCAATAAAATTCGTGATTTTCTAGTCTAAAGGTACCAACGATAACCTTTTACACAATGTTCCGGCCACATTGAACTTTATTTCATGACATTTCGTCCCGTACTTCATCTGAAATGCGTGTCACTAGATTCGAAGCGAGAGAATTTTCAACTGGTTTGATCGTGATAACGTACGGCTTCTCTCAAACTCATTGTTTCTGTTAAATATTGAAATTTTAACTGAAACCACTGACTTTACTGAATTACAGTTTAAACTTTATGAAGGTAGGCACAGCTTTGCAGGCATCATGCATATTAAATTAAGATATAATGAATTATCATCCTGAAATAGACCAATTGGTATAAGAATATAACTATGTGGATTGGACGGGCGGAGAGTAATTTACTACCGCCACACAAATAAGACACGATATGTGCCGAATATACATGTGTTATCTACTCTATTTCAATTTCACGGAAACTGAGTGGGTTTCTTTTTCTTAATATTCATTCATTCATTCATTCATTCATTCATTCATTCACTAACTCACTCATTCATTCAATAATGAATACAAAAATTCATGAATTTCTTTATTTATTCATTCAATCATTAATAAATACATTTAAGTAATTAATTATTTTATTATTTAAATCATTTATTTATTTATTTATCCATGAATTCATTCATTTCATTCATTCGTTTCATTCATTCATTCATTCATTCATTCATTCATTCATTCATTCATTCATTTATATATACATATTATTTTCCTTATAGTACATGTATCTATATATTTATATTTTAGTTTATATTCGTTTTTAATGTTTTTTCCATACTCATGTCTTCTGTCAAATTATTTGGCAATACATGTGTAGAAAAATAAAAGGTACGCTTTACAGTTCTCTTTCTTTCATGAAAAGTCAATTTCACATGATATTCATGTGTCTGCCATAAATAACGCTTAGATATTATCTCATTGCAATAGCTTTTATTTTCGTATGAAAGAAATGAGTTGTATAGAAGTTTATTTAAATCGTCAAGTGCCTTAAAAAACAAATGTTGCTTTCCGTTAATAAATTATCGTTTTCATAAACAATCTCAATACATTCATATTCATAAATGGCGTGCATTGCAAATGCTTTGACAAAACAACAAACGATCAGGTGTTCTTATAGTTTATTCCTTTGATATCGGATACTTGCTGCACATCAAATATGTATGATGTTTGCCCATGCATTTTACAAGGTAATATAATATAGTTAATGGGCAATTTAAATTTTTAGAGTGATAATCAATTCTGTTTAAAATCATGCAATTTGAAAGGTAAATAACTTGAAACAAGCTTAAAAATCAATTATTATCTTTATGATTGTTATTTATCAAAAAGACATGTCATAGAGATTAATTTAAAACTTTGAAAACTGTCTGTTCATTCATTCGTCCATCCATTCATCTACACTTTTGAATTAAAAACTTACCCAATTAAGGGTGGTATGTTTTAAGGTGTTGTGCTTAAACAATTTTGTCTTATTCAAAGCGAATATGCGATTTCAATCTTACTAGGAGAGTAACAAATGAATTCAATTAAACCGAAAAGGAATGGTTAAAAGAACTTTAACTACTAGAAGTTGACCAAATCATTTTTGAATTATCATTTGTAGAAATAAACACTGCTAAAATCATACTCAACGTATAAAAGTTATTTTCATATCCAAATATTGTAAATCTAGTTCTTTACATTAATAGGTGCCAGGAAAATAATACTGGTTTCAGTAGTTGGTCAATACGTTGTTTAATCACTCTTTGGAGATGTAAAGATTATCTTTAAATGCATAAATTATATTTTATTGACTTGTCACATTCGACAAAATTTTCATTTGGTATCTTAAATACTTGGCTAAATTTCAATTACTTTCCTCAAAATAAAAAAATGTTAAATATTTACAAAAAAGATTGTGTAACAGTTATAAAAAACCTTAAGTTCTGACAATGGTATATTTTCCGATATTGTTGACCTCACGAACGAATACAATTACCCTTCATTTTTGCATTAAAATTTAAAAGATCATTTACGAAGGAGAAGTATTTCTTCTGTTAAAATGTTTAGCTTATTTCTACTTTATTGAATATTGAAACAAAGAGATTAATTTGTCAAATGTAAGTTTTGGAATTGCACTTTATAAAATATATTTCGGTTTGAATTTTGTTCGCGTATTCGAAAGTGATTTTATCTAGAACTTTGCCGAAAGAATTGGTAAATTGAATGATAAACCACATTTAACTTATAGAATTGATATCCCGTAGTTGTAAAATGTTTTCTTATTAGAAATAAGTATTAGAGAAAAACTAGAAAGCTGAAAAACTAACGTTTTTATTTTCCATGCTTTTTCTGTCGCAATTGAAAGTTTACTATTAATTTGCGCGTCCAAGTGTCCCTTGTATTATATATTAACTCTACAAAGCACTGAATATGCGTACAAACTATTTTTTCTCTCCTTAGGATAGTTAAGTAAGGTATGCACCTGAACATCCTGGCAGCAATATCCATAACTTCTTGTTATTTAAACATTGAATTTTGCCAATCAGCTTAACTTGTTTTTCCAGTAGAAAGTTAACTCTTTTCAAAAAAGTCCCGGGTGTTTGAACGATACAAACTTCTGTTGTTTTATTATTTTTTTTTTTTTTTTTGCAATATATAATAATGATAATAACAATAATAACAATAATATATTTCTTTTGTCAATCCGCATGCTTGTCTCAGATACATTCGTTTAATATAAAAATAGTAAATGATACCGATCTGTCATAATCAGTGACAAACAGACTTATTGGTAATCAACACTTTTTTTTCTCTTATGTACACTTAAAACAAGAAGAAACCCTCAATCTTTAACAACAAAGACTATAATTAAAAATTAAATAATCACTACTAGCGTGAGATCAAGATTGAAACCTGTTAATAAATCATAAGCTAAGATTAATTCATTGTAAATTAAATGTAATTAATCAATTGTAAAATAACATGACATACCTTTTTATACATGTAAATATTTTATTAATGTCCCCATTAGTATTTTTTCTAGGATATTCATTTCTGGGAAGAGCTCAATCTAAAGTTGCAAGAGAACTTGTTGCCCAAACCCTTTACTTTTTGTTACATACTTATCATTGTATTGTATTGTACATGTACATGTATTTGCTGTAATAAAATATGTTTAAATTAAAGTATGCTTTTTGTGTTTGTTTTTTCAAGGACAATTGCTACATATAGATTTTTTCAAAAAATTCTAGTAAATTATTCACATACTTTTTGTTAAGTAACATACAAAGTAAATGTCTCGATAACATGTTCACCTTTGAAAAAATGTTCATGAATGGACTCTGCTGATATTTTAACTTTACTTTTTTTTAAATGCCACTGATTTTGTCCAAATGTAAAAATAATATTACCTTTGTTTAGCACAATAACGAGTAATTTAAACATTGTGACACGTCTTGACTGTTGTCACTATACTTGTTTGGGACTCTTTATGATGTTGACTGTGTCGAGCAGTTGTTGTTGTGCAGGTTGACTGTGTCGGAGCAGTTGTTGTTGTTGTTGTGAATGTTGACTGTGTTCGGAGCAGTTGTTGTTGTTGTTGTGAATGTTGATTGTGTCGGAGCAGTTGTTGTTGTTGTTGTGAATGTTGACTGTTGTGAATGTTGACTGTTGTCGAGCAGTTGTTGTTTGTTTTGTGAATGTTGACTGTGTCGGAGCAGTTGTTGTTGTTTGTTGTTGTGAATGTTGACTGTGTCGGATCAGTTGTTGTTGTTGTTGAATGTTTTGACTGTGTCGGAGCAGTTGTTGTTGTTGTTGTGAATGTTGACTGTGTCGAAGCAGTTGTTGATATTGTTGTTGTGAATGTTTACTGTGTCGGAGTAGTTGTTGTTGTGTTGTGAATGTTGACTGTGTCGGAGCAGTTGTTGTTGTTGTGAATGTTGACTGTGTCGGAGTAGTCGTTGTTGTTGTTGTTGTTGTTGTTGTGAATGTTGCCTGTGTCGGAGCAGTTGTTGTTGATGTTGTGAATGTTGACTGTGTCGGAGCAGTTGTTGTTGTTGTTGTTTGTTGTGTGAATGTTGACTGTGTCGGAGCGGTTGTTGTTTTTGTTGTTGTTTGTTGTTGTTGTGAATGTTGACTGTGTCGGAGCAGTTGTTGCTGTTTTTGTGAATGTTGACTGTGTCGGAGCAGTTGTTGTTGTTGTTGTGAAATGTTGACTGTGTCTGAGCAGTTGTTGTTGTTGTTGTCGTCGTCATTGTAGTAGTCGTTGTTGTTGTTGATGCTTTTATCATTTGTATCGTTTCTATTCTATATTTTTTTGTCATTACTTATGTCATGATCACTACTTTTGTTGTTATCTAAACGTTTCATTTTGGTTTTTTATTTTTGTTGTTGTTACTGATGTTGTAGTTCCAAGATTCCTTTCCTGACTTATTTCTATTATCATTATAATACTGTACTTGGTAACAAAAATATTTGTAATAATTGAAGAAATGATTCATTATTAACAAAGATGAAGTGAGTTACCGTATTGACGACTAAGGGACCAAATGTTTTGACATGAAATTTATAGTTGCCACCATACCACTGTTACCCAATATTTTGTCCCATTTATGCATCACTTTCCCAAAAGCAAAGCAAACTCATTTTCATTAGATATGTGTAGATATATAACTATATGTAACTATTTTATAGATCCATATCACATGATATCAATATAATTCCTATAGTTGGTGGCAATGGAATTCATATATTAAGTAGCACTGACTATCCAGGGTTTATGATAAATGCTATACATTGTTGAATGAAAAAGAGTAGACATATGATTGTCCTCCTGAGTTTTTTTATTGTTATTGGCCGTTATGATAGAAATGCAAAATATTGGAATTTTGTAATCGTAACTTAACTGATTGCAAAAAAAATCAATTGATTGATAGGAAATGTTTTAATAGAAAAATTGAAACATTGGAACCAAAATTATGATAATATTGATGAAGTCTATTTCGCTTTGAAACATGAGCAGGGAGTTGAGAATAAATCATCAAAAGAAGATGAGATTTTGGCTATAGAATGAGGTTTCGTATTAGATATTATCTCATTGCAATAGCTTTTATTTTCGTATGAAAGAAATGAGTTGTATAGAGGTTTATTTAAATCGTCAAGTGCCTTAAAAAACAAATGTCGCTTTCCGTTAATAAATTATCGTTTTGATAAACAATTTCTATACATTCATAAATGGCGTGCAATGCAAATGCTTTGACAAAACAACAAACGATCAGATGTTCTTATAGTTTATTCCTTTGATATCGGATACTTGCTGCACATCAAACATGTATGATGTTTGTCCATGCATTTTACAAGGTAATATAATATAGTTAATGGGCAATTTAAATTTTTAGAGTGATAATCAATTCTGTTTAAAATCATGCAATTTGAAAGGTAAATAACTTGAAACAAGCTTAAAAATCAATTATTATCTTTATGATTGTTATTTATCAAAAAGACGTGTCATAGAGATTAATTTAAAACTTTGAAAACTGTCTGTTCATTCATTCGTCCATCCATTCATCTACACATTTGAATTAAAATCTTAGCCAATTAAGGGTGGTATGTTTTAAGGTGTTGTGCTTTAACAATTTTGTCTTATTCAAAGCGAATATGCGATTTCAATCTTACTAGGAGAGTATCAAATGAATTCAATTAAACCGAAAAGGAATCGTTAAAAGAACTTTAACTACTAGAAGTTGACCAAAACATTTTTGAATTATTATTAAAAATTTTGTAGAAATAAACACTGTTAGAATCACACTCAACGTATAATAGTTATTTTCATATTCAAATATTGTAAATCTAGTTCTTTACATTAATAGGTGCCAGGTAAATAATACTGGTTCCAATAGTTGGTCAATAAGTTGTTTAATTACTCTTTGGAGATGAAAAGATTCTCTTTAAATGCATAAATTCTCTTTTATTGACTTGTCACATTCGACAAAATTTTCATTTGCTATCTTAAATACTTGGTCAAATTTCACATAACTTTCCTCAAAATTAAAATATGTTTAATATATTCTAATATTTACAAAAAGGTTGTGTAACAGTTATAGATATTTTAAAACATTAAGTTCTGACAATGGTATATTTTGACACAGTGTTGACCTCACGAACGAATACAATAACCCTTCATTTTTGCATTAAAATTTAAAAGATCATTTACGAAGGAGAAGTATTTCTTCTGTTAAAATGTTTAGCTTTATTTCTACTTTATTGAATATTGAAACAAAGAGATTAATTTGTCAAATGTAAGTTTTGGAATTGCACTTTATAAAATATATTTCGGTTTGAATTTTGTTCGCGTATTCGAAAGTGATTTTATCTAGAACTTTGCCGAAAGAATTGGTAAATTGAATGATAAACCACATTTAACTTATAGAATTGATATCCCGTAGTTGTAAATGTTTTCTTATTAGAATAAGTATTAGAAAAACTAGAAAGCTGAAAAACTAACGTTTTTATTTTCCATGCTTTTTCTGTCGCAATTGAAAGTTTACTATAGTTTCACTGATTCAACCTAATTTGCGCGTCCAAGTGTCCCTTGTATATATATTAACTCTACAAAGCACTGGAATATGCGTACAAACTATTTTTTCTCTCCTTAGGATAGTTAAGTAAGGTATGCACCTGAACATCCTGGGCAGCAATATCCATAACTTCTTGTTATTTAAACATTGAATTTTGCCAATCAGCTTAACTTGTTTTCCAGTAGAAAGTTAACTCTTTTCAAAAAAGTCCCGGGTGTTTGAACGATACAAACTTCTGTTGTTTTATTTATTTTTTTTTTTTTGCAATATATAATAATGATAATAACAATAATAACAATAATATATTTCTTTTGTCAATCCGCATGCTTGTCTCAGATACATTCGTTTAATATAAAAATAGTAAATTGATACCGATCTGTCATAATCAGTGACAAACAGACTTATTGGTAATCACACTTTTTTTCTCTAATGTACTTAAAACAAGAAGAACCCTCAATCTTTAACAACAAAGACTATAATTAAATTAAATAATCACTACTAGCGTGAGATCAAGATTGAAACCTGTTAATAAATCATAAGCTAAGATTTAATTCATTGTAAATTAAATGTATTAATCAATTGTAAAATAACATGACATACTTTTTATACATGTAAATATTTTCATTAATGTCCCTATTAGTATTTTTTCTAGGATATTCATTTCTGGGAAGAGCTCAATCTAAAGTTGCAAGAACTTGTTGCCCAAACCCTTTACTTTTGTTACATACTTATCATTTGTATTGTATTGTACATGTACATGTATTTGCTGTAATAAAATATGTTTAAATTAAAGTATGCTTTTTGTGTTTGTTTTTTCAAGACAATTGCTACATATAGATTTTTTCAAAAAATTCTAGTAAATTATCACATACTTTTTGTTAAGTAACATACAAAGTAAATGTCTCGATAACATGTTCACCTTTGAAAAGATGTTCATGAATGGACTCTGCTGATATTTTAACTTTACTTTTTTATGCCACTGATTTTGTCAAATGTAAAAATAATATTACCTTTGTTTAGCACAATAACGAGTAATTTAAACATTGTGACACGTCTTGACTGTTGTCACTATACTTGTTTGGGACTCTTATGATGTTGACTGTGTCGGAGCAGTTGTTGTTGTGCAGGTTGACTGTGTCGGAGCAGTTGTTGTTGTTGTTGTGAATGTTGACTGTGTCGGAGCAGTTGTTGTTGTTGTTGTGAATGTTGATTGTGTCGGAGCAGTTGTTGTTGTTGTTGTGAATGTTGACTGTTGTGAATGTTGACTGTGTCGGAGCAGTTGTTGTTGTTGTTGTGAATGTTGACTGTGTCGGAGCAGTTGTTGTTGTTGTTGTTGTGAATGTTGACTGTGTCGGATCAGTTGTTGTTGTTGTGAATGTTGACTGTGTCGGAGCAGTTGTTGTTGTTGTTGTGAATGTTGACTGTGTCGAAGCAGTTGTTGATATTGTTGTTGTGAATGTTTACTGTGTCGGAGTAGTTGTTGTTGTTGTTGTGAATGTTGACTGTGTCGGAGCAGTTGTTGTTGTTGTGAATATTGACTGTGTCGGAGTAGTCGTTGTTGTTGTTGTTGTTGTGAATGTTGACTGTGTCGGAGCAGTTGTTGTTGATGTTGTGAATGTTGACTGTGTCGGAGCAGTTGTTGTTGTTGTTGTTGTTGTGAATGTTGACTGTGTCGGAGCGGTTGTTGTTTTTGTTGTTGTTGTTGTTGTTGTGAATGTTGACTGTGTCGGAGCAGTTGTTGCTGTTGTTGTGAATGTTGACTGTGTCGGAGCAGTTGTTGTTGTTGTTGTGAATGTTGACTGTGTCTGAGCAGTTGTTGTTGTTGTTGTCGTCGTCATTGTAGTAGTCGTTGTTGTTGTTGATGCTTTTATCATTTGTATCGTGTTCTATTCTATATTTTTTTGTCATTACTTATTGTCATGATCACTACTTTTGTTGTTATCTAAACGTTTCATTTTGGTTTTTATTTTTGTTGTTGTTACTGATGTTGTAGTTCCAAGATTCCTTTCCTGACTTATTTCTTATTATCATTATAATACTGTACTTGGTAACAAAAATATTTGTAATAATTGAAGAAATGATTCATTATTAACAAAGATGAAGTGAGTTACCGTATTGACGACTAAGGGACCAAATGTTTTGACATGAAATTTATAGTTGCCACCATACCACTGTTACCCAATATTTTGTCCCATTTATGCATCACTTTCCCAAAAGCAAAGCAAACTCATTTTCATTAGATATGTGTAGATATATAACTATATGTAACTATTTTATAGATCCATATCACATGATATCAATATAATTCCTATAGTTGGTGACAATGGAATTCATATATTAAGTAGCACTGACTATCCAGGGTTTATGATAAATGCTATACATTGTTGAATGAAAAAGAGTAGACATATGATTGTCCTCCTGAGTTTTTTTTATTGTTATTGGCCGTTATGATAGAAATGCAAAATATTGGAATTTTGTAATCGTAACTTAACTGATTGCAAAAAAATCAATTGATTGATAGGAAATGTTTTAATAGAAAAATTGAAACATTGGAACCAAAATTATGATAATATTGATGAAGTCTATTTCGCTTTGAAACATGAGCAGGGAGTTGAGAATAAATCATCAAAAGAAGATGAGATTTTGGCTATAGAATGAGGTTTCGTATTAAAAGAGAGGAATATTAATTTTTCTGACTTTTTCTGATGTTTAAAATCATAATTCCCAGTCCTATAACTGTACAGTGCACTGAGGTTATTTGGTCATACAAATGTAATATATTTATATGCATGCATTGATGTATCTTTCACTTCGAGACACAGTGCCTTTATTTACGAGGAGCACTATTTCATATAGAGTTTTTGCTTATGGCATTTTCATGTTTTGATGCTTATCGTTGTAAACCGGAACAGGAAGCATTAATTAACGAACTGGAAACATTAATAATTGAACTGGACTTAAGGACACTCGTACTTCCTTAATGGGAATGCGCACAAATATCAAAGAAACTGTTATGACAATAAAGCATGTGTTATTGACCTATTGACTTCTTCATTGAAATGTTTAACTACAGTACATGTACCTGTGTTGGGTATAACGTAACGGAAACATAGATAGCACGCCTGTGAACATAAAAGAAATATATGACCCATAATTAATGCTACTCTTACAAAAGTATGTTATATCTTAACAGCCTTCTGTTTTCCTGTAATATGTCTTGTGTCATATGATCGTACGATAACGTCATTGCATGGGCTTTCAATGATTTAATTGCCTATATCATACTGTAGATGCTGTATATTAACAAAAGTTGTCAACTCTTCCAAAACAAACTCGTTTCTATCATTTGTTTATACATAACAAATACTTATTTCAATAGTTCTTTTGTAATGTAAACCTTGAAAGCCTATTTTCTAAACGTAAACATGAGTAGGACTGAATGTAAGTTATAGAAAAAACATCGATTGTCAAATGTTTTAATGTTCTCTTTTTATGTATCTTAGGTGTAATTAAACACGCTTTCCCATTTGTCACAATATGTAGGCGATGAAACAATGAACAAATGTACGAGGATCTGAATATGCTTTTTCTATTGTTACCCCGTCCCTGTCGTCATAATACATACAAATGTAAAACCAATCAAGGAGCATGCTCTATGTTTATCCCAGTGTTCAAGAAAATAATACTTGTTTTTCACTTCATGCACCGTGCAATTATGGGGATATTATATAAATCTTTTGACATACGTTCAATAGGATAGTCACTCAAGGTCTGCACATTATGATGCACGGGCGATACAGTAAATGTTTATCGACCCAAATGTCGAGAGGTCCAAGGCTAGATTCGTTGTCAGTAATGAATGATATCTGGTCTGTCGGCGATATATTAACAAAATCAATTACTTTATGCAATATCTGTACAGAAATATCATAATTTTTTATTGTAAACCATAAAAACTAATAACGACAACTGTGACATAATTATGCAATATGATTAACAAAAGGTCTGCATTTATCTTGCTTGGAATCTTTGTCAAGAAAATACTTGTCAGAATCACTTTTGTTGAACAAAGGCCTTATATTTCCAGACAATTATGTATAAAGGTTATGTACTCAGAAAATGTTCTACGACATTACTTGCATGTCGTGCTATCTAAGATTTGTTATTTTTCTAGACCAACATACTGGATTGAAAAGCTTTATGTGATATGAGTACGTGACCTTTTGAATTATTTGTTGTGCAAAATGACGAATATAACACGTTATAGGCTTTTACGAGAAAATGTTTTCAGTCATTTAAATTTAAACAAATGGTAAAAACATGAATTGTTTTTTTTACACAATATATTTCAAAGTAACTGTCATTTTTGTTTTGTGTTGTTGTTATTTTTAAATTGCTTTGTTATTTGGCTTTATTTATTTATTTTTATTTTTGTTTGCTTTTTTTTCCTCAAAATTTTGTCCTTTTAACTTTCTTAATTGAATTTCACCATCAATACGACTATCATTAATACCGCATTTATTACCATCCCTTGAATCATCAATCATCACAATCATCACCATCATTATTGCAATCACCCTTCATGTTAAATGTTCGCAAGAAATACGGAGTCTCTGTTGAAGTTTACAAATCATAACATTGAGTTGAGCCACAGTGGTGTAAAATTGCTTGTATCATAGTTTGGGAACCTTTCTGTTGAAAATGTGACAGAGTTAAAAATCGTATACATATACATGCACAATGCTTTAACTTGATTGCATGTATTAGGTCCTCGCACTCCAGAGCATGCTCATTGATTGGTTCATCTTGTCCGGGGTTTACATATTGTGACGCCAGAGAAAGGGGATAGCGATGGAAATATCATATTCAGATGCTTGTTCACTGGTTATTTTATTGCGGGGTTTCATATTTTGGTATCAGGGAACGTGTTTTTATGTTTTACTATGACACAAAAGAGAAAAAACATCAAAACACTCGGCTATCTGATTAATACTCGGAGGCAACGCACCCCCTGCGTATAAATCAGATAACCGCGTGTATCGATGCTCGTTCAATTACTTATTATATAATTATATACAATCCAGCTGATGTACAATTGATTCGAACCAGCCGTATGAAAAAGAAAAA